AGGTAGGTACACGTACTTACAATGCGATTTATGATCATGAACTTGTTTGTTTAGTATTTATAATTAACTATCAACAGTAAAATTGTAATTACGATAATGATGACGATTACGATCATCGCTGTTAGATATGACCATTCATTTGTACATTAGGTTAATTGATAAAAAAAGAAATTCTTTTTTTCTCTCTTTTTGTCTTTCTTTTTTAATTAATCGTTTATGGCGGGAAACATATACAACAATTAAATCTGTGCATATGCGCATGAATTTGAAAAAAAAAAAAAAAGGAATACCCGTTCAGACGTCAGCACATGTTGATATTTGCAAAAGTTTTAGCAGCAAGAGAGAACAGTTCGTTCCAAGTGTAAATTAGACTACAATTCAAACATGTGTTGGACGTGCAAAATGTTACTTATATTTGCATATATCGTATGTGTAGACATACCACGAGAGTAAAGTAATTGTAAAATCTGAAACATTTTTATATAGACTAGCAGACGAATGATTTCTGTTCTGTGCTAGAGCAACATATAACAAAGGAACGAAAACAAATAAAAGAAAACTATATTTGCTTTGGGTCGATCGTTTAGCATTCATCACTTTAAACGGTTGTATGAAAATCTATATTTTTGTTTTTTTTTTTTCTATCATGCCCTTCTTATTTTGTTGATCGTGTACTTGTTGTTAGTAATCTTAGTCTGCTCCATGATGAATGGAAATGTTAATGTTAGAGAGAACCCGTTTCGCCCTCAGGTGGTTTAACACCTACGGACTTTTTCCTTTGAAGCTATACAACAGAGATCAGCCAAGTCACAAATTTAGGAACAGTTGAATGGGAACATCTGCCAGACTATCGTAGACACACGCCCCGTTGCGTTGGACAGAATTAATAACAATTGTAGCAATCGTGCGAGTGGGAGTGGGTTCAAAGCATTGTTGGGAACATGAATTAGATTCTGTTCAGAACATAACTACAGCGTCCAAGCTTCATTTACTTTATTATATACCCATGATCGAAGGATAAGCGATATAATTATTTTGTCAAACTGTTCGCAAACACCCAGAAGGAAGAGAATTTGATCAGCAACAAATTCGCAATTTAAGTACGCTCGTCCGTTTGTCTAGGCAATGGCTTCAAATTTGCAGAAACATAGCAAGGTGTTGCACGCATGTTGGTGTTGAAATTGGGCCAAATTGGGCCTACGACGCAATATAACCTGAGGCCACGTTTGTTTCGAAATATAAAAAAAGCTAGGCAGATACAACGTAATAATGCGCAATACGGGTGTTCGTGCATCCTCTGTACTAGAATGCGAAAAATGGCCACATTTCCCCAACATTACAGAATATTAAAATGTTATCCTTTTGTTAAAACTTCTGCAATACCCAGAAGGAAGCTTCAGAGACCCTGTCAAGTTTAGACATTATTTATTAATTCTCAAGCACTAGTAGAGCTTTCAATACAGCCGAGCATATGGTCTAAGTTTTACGGCAGCCTTTAAATCATTACTTTGCAAATTTAATTTCAAAATACATAGACAATAAATAAACAAAAAAAATTATTCCCGCTTTAATTATTTATATATAATTATTATTATTTAATTATAAACAGTCCCGCTCTGTTTGTTAATTGCTATGGCCAACGTACTCATTTCCTCTTTTGTGCTACAAGGTCAGTCACGTCCATTCAACATGTGTGGAAATTTACTTTTCTTCTTTTTACTCTGCCTTAGAGCAACGGATATGCGCATAAAAGATTCGATCCCACCTGAATATAATGTTCTTAATTTATTTTATGTAATGAAATACCTTTGCAATTAGGGTCTATGGCATGTTTTTAACTAATTTATGAATGAAGTTTATGTCGAGTCTCAGCTTTTCGTTTCAATTTTTACAGCTTCCAAGATTGGAACAGCCGATGTAAATTTGGACGGGCATAAACAGACGATATGGTTTGGACAGATGCCGATGGATGACGTCTGATGTAACTTCTTTTAATAAGCGACGACTGAATCATATCTCTTGGAACCTTTCTAAATTTACTGAAGTTTTTGACATCACTGATTCTTAGACGCGGTCTCTCTAGGCTAGTACAGCTTTTTTGGTATGTCAGGGCAGTTGTCTCTGGAACTTGTGTTAATTTTTTTGTTAACTATTTCGGCAGTGATCGTTACAGGGTAATCTAAGCCTCACATCCTGTGTGCTCTATATTTGATTGCCACATGAGTTGCCAGAAGGGAACCCAATAAAGCAAACTTTCAGCTATGAATCGCGTTATTTTTGAGATATTAAGAGGCAATACCAGTCACATACGGCAAAAATATACGAAAAAGATCGTGGTCGAAATTGGATAGAACGACACAAAACGGAGGCAAAGTCTGAATCAGATCATGGCGCAATAGATTTATCTTCATTTCTTTGACACTTACCAGGAGAAAGACCCCCACGAGATGTATATATTCTAGCCCAGCGAAATTCTGTGGGAAATTTTGAGGACATTTGTTCAGCGTTTAAACTGCCTGCTGTACGTACACTGCGACGGTGATCATGGAGAAAGGGGGAAAGAGAGAATTAAGAGGTAGGCAGTTGCCACAGTCCAGTGAATGCGTGCCCTATCGGTAAGTGTTATGCTTTTACGCCAATTGGTCGCAAAAATTGGAATCGGAAACTGAAATTTTGCGCACATAGCGCAATAGTTAATGGTCCCAAATTGAGTCGTGAAATAATTGTTATTTGCCCACAACCAGAAGAAATAGAAAGCGAAAACTTAGATTTCTTAGAAGATTATTGCTCTGCAATATGTTGCAAGCATTTTCGAAAACCACTTGTGCGATTTCAGGGGGGAATGGTCATATCTGCTTTCCGGTGTTCAAATAGGGCTTAAGAATAAGCGAAATTGAACTAGGACTACGTTCAGAATGGGATAGAAGCCCCAATACAGAATTTCAAGCAGATATTAATTTTTGAAAAATTCCCATTTGCCGCATAAAACGAGAATGAGCTGTAGGTAGTAAAGCAAATATAAAAAAGATTCAGTGAGCTGCAGTTTCATTTGATATTTTAATAATTATAGGCGAGCGTGTACACTTACTTACAGAATTGGATTATAATGCAATGCATGTACATATATGTACGAGCAAAGCAATAGTAAAAGAACACAACGATAACGAAACGAGATCTTATGGTCATAAAATTGTTCTGCATCTGCAAATAATTCTTTTTTTTTTTTGTTCCTTTTTTTAGGTTTATGTTAAGATAAAACTTCTAAAGTAAATTTTCTTATTGAGGTGTTGTTTTATTGTTGTTGTAGTTTATTTATTAATTGTGTTTTTTAAACCAATTTTTGGAACGAATACAAAACGAGACCCAAACACACACTAAAACAAGTTTTAATTACAAATGTGCTCACATTTGACCTTGAATATGGGATGCATAAAACACTGACCGAAAGCAAAGGAAAAAAAAAGTGAAACATAAAAGATAAATTGTTCCATTAATTATATACATTGCAATGTGCTTTATGTTCTAGTTAATGTCATCATTGAAAAGCTTTCAATTAAATGCTCTTTTTTTTTGAGTTTCTGCGTTTTTAATACGATTTCCTAGCGTTCGTCTCTTTTCTTCCTCTTGCTTTTCGATCTCTTGGCGGATATTATATTCTGTATCTGTTTGATGTTAAAAGTAATGAAGCAATGGCAAAGCTCTTAATTATATATTGTACTATTCTACAAGACCTATTGCAAAAGTGTTTGCTGGTCTTTAATTACGATTACTTTTCGCAAAATGCCCGTGGATGCGCTATTGTTCTTATAGTTATTGTTGTTGTTACTACTTGCTTTTTCTTTTGTTTCCCATTTGTTTTATCCGTTGGGCTTATATTTGCTAAAGTTTAAGAGGATCATTTGAGGATGATGCTCAATGATCTTAATGGGCAAATAATTGAATTTAAAGTTCGTTGACCGTAAAGTGTTGATTGATTACTGGATTCTTTATTTTGTTTTTTTTTTTTCCTGTATATAAAAACGTATATATGTATATACATAGGTATGTATATATATGTATTAATTGATTGATTGATTTCAATGAATGATCGTGTTTATGCTCAATTCATGGCAATGGTCAAGATTGACATCAAGTTGCCTTTGCATTCTGTTAAATTACTTTAACAAATATATTAATTTGCGCTTGTGTATATATAGAGTGAAATTATATTAATTATTTATCAAGCATAGGAAATAGGTTCAGGGCTACGAAGTAAACTTCAAATTGATACAAAGTCATAATGCTCTTTAATCGACATATGCATTGCACTCTCAACGAGTCCTTGACTTAGATATTGGACTTGTCAGAATTGATTTTTCTTCCAAAACTGGCATGGACTTACGTGCAATAACTATTGTACAAAGCCGAGAAAACATAGTTCAGCCTTTAGCGCTAATGAATAACGCTTCCGTTCAGAACTGCTTTGCTATAGTGGATTTTATCCATGAGAAAAAGAAGACTTAAGACAAAATAAATACAATCGCGATAAATATTAGATTTTGAGCGGATTAACTTCTGTGATTTTATCATTCGGTCCGTTCGACCGTATTTATATTTGTGAGCGTGGCAATAATTAAGAGAAAAAACTGACAACTAACACACAATATATAAAGTGAGTTGATGGCTGCATTAGGTAAATCTTAAAAGTCAAAATATGACGATTATTCACTTTTAATAAAATAGAAACTTAAAATCTTCATAAGTTTTTACACTGGACCATCCACAACCTAGCTTTCTATTTTTATTTTTAAGAAGTTTGTTTTAAGACTAGCGCTTAACACGAATTTACATATTTAGTTTGGGACGTAGACTCATTTAAGTTTCCTAGCCGTTACGATCACTAAGACAATGACGCTTAAGCCAGCTGACTCCTTAGAAAATGTAAACCTTCTCGGCAAAAAATATATTTATTTACGAAATTGGAGTAATATTTTGGCGTAAGTGAACGTAATCCGCATTACCAAAATAGCTCCGTCGTCAGACCAAGGCCACAACACAAAATCATCGAGACATTTTCGGAGGCAAGCAAATATCTAATTGAGTTTTATACACATATTCCCCATTTCTCTGCACAAATCGTTTTAGTTCCGAAGACTCGAGCTCTCATTATATACATTTCTATTCGTCTTTTCCAATAAGCAAGCAAGAACCCTCCGAATTGTGTTAATTATGTTCTCCCACACTTTCGCTCTACATCACTCTACTTTATCTAAGCTTTCCTCCTCCGCAAAGACAAAGAAACAGGAAAGTCGGATAAAATGAAAATCTAAGCATATGTATGATACGCGTAAGATTCAGAATGCCTGCGAACCTCTGAGAGTTATTTATGCTAAAAGTTAAGGTAATTTGATTAATGATTTTTTTTTCTTTTTTTTAAATTTACTTACATTTACAATAGAGTTTCTAATGTCCTTCTTATTGAATATCAAATGTACAGGCGGTGTGAAGGATACAATCCGTTAATAAAATCTTATTAAGCTAAATACTTAAGTAAACAGTGGTTTCAATAATTAAGTACGTTTGCATTAGTCTTTCACTTTACGATAATTTTAATGTTAAGTGTTCTTGGCAGAAGGCGATCCAGGAATTTTTCTTCTTAGCGGTAGATAGTAGTTGAAGGAATTTTTTCTTTTTTCTTATGAGCTTTGTATTATAACTTATCACATTTCTTTCTACGGTTAAAAATGATCTTTTTTTCTTTATTACTTCTTTATTCTTCTTATTTTTTTATAAATATTTCTAACGTCCCTTAAACAAATATAATTAATTAGTCATTAGCTGTTCTTTTTTTAACTTTGTTGTTGCTATTGCTGTTGTATAAATATGATTGTTTTCTAGATGATTTGCATTTTCTTCTTTTGTTTATATAAAGAGCATAAATTGCTTAAATACACATACGCACACTCTCCCAGAAGCATGTTTACTTGATCAACGAATTGAAGTCAGTTCTATGCCTACGCCTATTTATATGTATATGTATATGGGCTTGTTTACAAAATGCGTAAATTGTTGAGTTATAGTTATACTGTTTTTGTATATACATATTTTTTTTAAATTTTTTTTCATTCTTTATTTATATTCAATAGGCATTTACAGCCAATTTGTTTGATTGATTCGCTGATGATGAATAAAAAAATTTTTATTTATTTTACGTGCGAAGAAAATAATTGATAATTATTAGAAAAATTATGAAACGCGAATTGGAGAATTATATTAGCCACTCTTGAAACCAATTTTGAAAGCTCATAATGTGTGGTCAGCGCTCCGCATGTGTAGAAGCGAGTGCTTTGTAGGGAAATCCCTTAGGGCTTTGCCGTAATGCGAACCATAAAGTTTCAAATTTTATTTATTTTTAATTTTATAAATATATTGTATATAAGATATTGTGAGTATGCATATAAGTTTGTAATATAAGACATCGTCCATTTTCAGACATGTGTACGCAGAGTAAATTTGTACTTTTATAAATCGCTTTTGAAAAAAAGTGTTGTAAGAAAGAAAAGTTAGTTCATTGGAGCGCGCTTGCTTAGATACTTAGATGGTATGAGGGCATATTAGGTTTGTGCATATATACACAGCATGCAGAAGGGCTTAAAATAGACCCGCTTTTTATTGTAGCAATCGTTTTAGAAAGACTTTCAAAATCTCAGTACCAGAATTTCTCTCAGAGTTACTTTGTGAAGCGATTTCAGTTTTTTGTCCGCTTTGTTTTCTTGTCTTTAAGACACTGGATGCGATTTTTGAGACTTTTTTTTTTGCAATTCGGTAACCCGAAATCGCTTTATCCAAGAACGCCCCTATTAAAAATGGTTCGGATTGCATCACATTTCCGATCACTTTCCCTATAACACCTTTTGACCACGCTTCTCTGTCGTTTGGGCGGCGTGCTAAACTCAGTTAGATTAAGTTAGCTTTAATTATAAGTAACCAGATTGTGCTAAAATTGATCAAAGCAGTTGATTCCAGCTGAGGATTGGCCGTGCCGTTCTTTAGATCGAAGCAAGTAACTTTCTAAAACTACAAGCGTGGACAGCCGACACGAACAAGCGGAATTTAATGGCTTGTAAATTAGGAAATGGGTTTATGGATTTACCGTTAAGCTAAGTAATCATTTCTTTCGACACATATTAGGTAATGGAAAATAACAACAAGGAATTTTAATGCCTTTCTAGGTTGTTGAGAGTATGCCTTCCGATAATCTAAATATCCGATCGAAACCTACTAATCCGTCTCAAAAGGGATAGCCTTTATGACATTTTTTATGATAATTTTCTTTAGAGGGCTTTAGAGGGTCTAAAGTTAGATGTCTGTCAGCAAAACGTTGTCTTTGAAACCCGATCTTGATTAAACCAAAAAATGTAAGAGAATTCAACCTAAGCAATTCCAAGGGTGTTCAGAAGGAGGTCATGCTCCTCACAATTCGATCAGAACTATTTTGAGATTGAACTCAAGAAAACATGACGGACAGACGCATAGTCCTGGAATCGATCGGCATAATAAAACGTGGGCCTATCTAAAGCCCTCCTGTGTTTCGCACAAACTGGACATGCTATATGCATAAAAAAAAATTCTCCTAATTTTGGACAAATGCCTAAATGTATCGCAAGTACAAAATGTGTATTAGAGAAAAGGTTTACAAAGCTGCTTCGCGAAGTTAGCCGCTAGCGATATCCGGCAAATCGTAGCCTTAGCAGATTTCCTTTGACTTTTATGGAGTCTAAACGTAACATAACTTCAAAATGAATCAATCATTTCTGCTGAAGTAAGCTCCATTTTATTTAGGCTTTTCAAATATAAATTGCTCTTACGTTCAACTCAATATACGATACGTGAGATTATAGTGCCAGTAAAGAAATCTTTCAATGTTACTGTCACATTTTCTGATGTGGTGCTTTTAAGCGTAATTAATGATCAAATTTTCTTCTTTTTTTTTTGCTTTTGAACATGTTTTCAAAAATGCTTTTAACTGAAATCAAAAATAAGTTACCCTTTGGAATTCCTTCCCAGAAACATATCCATGCGAATTTATTTAAGGCAGATTAACGCTTGAAAAAGCTTAATCAAGAACACACGCATACACGATTATGCGTTGCAATCGAAAAGAAAAAAAAAACTTTCAAACGAAAAAATCAGGTAACAAACATTTTTGCATTTTTTTTCTTCTTATTACCTTGGGAAAAGCAACAAAACCGAAGACTCATATAACTATATCTGGAAGTAAACAAGTGTGTATATGCGTGTGGCTTACTATAAAAATTTGTTTTTAACATTTCAGTCAGATCAGTTACTAACCGAAAATTTTAGTTTCAGTAAATAATGAAGGAATGAAATCTCTTCTGGGAATTTAATTCGGGAAACTTTGTTCGTTTTAAAGCGAATTTTGAGTACTCAGCACTCTAAGGACTGGTTATCTGAAGGCATATGGGAAGAATGTACTGAAAGGAAAGGAAAGAAGTTCTCGAAATTGAACATATATTGTGGCAACCTTCTATAGTTAGACTATAAGTAAGTAGCTACAGGTAGTTAACAAGATAAAATAAGTTTTCATTCATTATAATAAAACAAGATAAAAAGTCCCTCAAAAGTATCTAGCTATAAGATATCAGCTAGTTGGCCGATTATTGGAAATGCATGCCTCCGTTCCTTGTTATATATCTTAAATCATTTAACTAAGAATTTGTTCAATAACGTTCTGAACTTTCTTCTTTTCATTTTTTGACATTGTTTTAGGCCTCAGTTTTTATGGACATAAAGCGCCTAATAGGACCTTAGACCTCTGGCATTCCATGACAAATATTAGAATCAAGCATTAGTCTCCTATGTAATAAGTTTTTTCTTCAGTTCACCTATAAAAAAAAAAACCAAAAACACGAAGGTCACCTAGACAAATATGAAGGCCCGCTAAAATCCGAGATACCGAGCTTTATTTCTGTTATGTTTAGTGTCAAACTGTTCCAAACTTTTGATTTTTAAACTATCGTTGCATTATAAAAGTAATAATAACATAATAAAGTTTTTACATAATGATACTCAGAAAAAAAGAGAAGGGAAATAAGATAGTGTCTGATCAAAAAAAAAAAAAAAAAAGATAAAAAAGAAATGCTAAGACAACTGTATACCGAAAAAAATCATCACGATAATCATGGGCTTTTAAACATGCACGCATGCCTTAGATTTTAAATTCCTATTTTTTTAACGCAAATATCGAACCGTTAGACATATTGATCATCCAAAAAGTAACTTAACGGATTGAGCAAACTATAAACTTTTTTAAAGCGATAACCCCAGAAAGTTTAAAGACCATTATGAAAAATGAAAACTGTTAAGTAATTGAAGCCCAACGCTGAACGCTGAACTTAATGCAAAGCAATAATTGTGAATGAAATACAAAGAAGTATATCCGCTGTTCATAAAACGCAATCATTTATTGAGATTAGGATTTATATACGCGCGCACCTTTATCTTTGAAGTTTATAACAGCCGTGATAAAACGGAACAAGTAAAATTTACACCAACAAATGTGCATTACGTTAATTAATAAAAAGTGAGCAAGCGGGAAAAATGCTTCAAATTATTTATTGGAAATGAGAAGACGAATTTCTACGCATACTCTGTTATATAAATTGACTAACAACGGTACTCCTTTTTGTGGAATACTTTGTTCGTATTCTTTTTTTTAGAATTTCGTGCTACTAATTAATCGCATTTTTATGAGTATCGTATTGAACGAAAGTAATTTAGAAAGTTGGAAAAGTGCGAATTAAAACTACCGATGATCAATATTTGTAAGCTGAGAAGTTATGCGAGAAACTGAGCTTAGAAAATCTACTTTCGGTACCACTTGTGCGACTTCCGACGCTCGTTTCTTCTCTATCAAAAATTCTCTTAATAGATAACTTATGAGAATTGCCTATTAAATATTCAAAGCTAGCTTCAGCAGACCGAAGTATAAAGCCGACTCGCCAAATCAAATGAAATAATGTATGAAAATAATTTCTTTTATACTCGATCCGAATTTCAATTCATAGCTTTGTTTTAATAGCAATAAGGGTAGAACTATTACATACGTTCATATCAAAAGTTCAGTTTCTTAGTGGTAAAGCAGGCACAGTGCTCTACTACTGGTCAACGAATGAGTACTGATAAGAACATAATCGAAACAGGAAAAAAAATTATATCTACCTTAAAGCGGAAGTCCTAATACGCATGGTCTTAAGTTAATACATAACAATCGCAAAGTATTTGGATCAAAGCAGGCATGTCGGTGAACCTATTGCAAGCACTACTGCGATGATCCTATGAAATGTCTGTAAATAGAAATATTTCAGTATCAGCTGCCTATTGTGCAAGCATTACATATTTGGCCTAGTTTCAATTTGCTATATTAACATGACTTTCAAGCAAAAAAGAACAGGCGGAAATTCTGAAAGCAAAGAGTCGAATTAAAAGGTAATCACAATGACACATAGACAAAAAACAGACAAAAAAATGAAATGTCAAGCAGCCGGACCGCAGGACGGACATGACTAAATCGTCCTTAGAAGTTTACGCTGACCAATGATCTGCATATGCCCGTAGTGTCGTATACAGAAGAATATTCCTAGCAAATCCCGCCGGCGGCATTAAAAAAAAAAAAAAGAATCTCATATAGAAAATCACGAGGAAGAACTGACAAACACTAAACCATATTTTCACGTTCGTCTTTGGTATACCCTTGGAAGCAAATGACTGAAATCTAAGTAAACAGTAAATGCTGAAAAGTAAACAATCACCATAAGTAGTAGTAGTAGTAGTAGTAGTAGTAGTAGTAGTGCTGGTAGTAAAAGAATAAAAGAGACGGTATGTCCACTTTGCAAGTGTAAACGCATATGCTTGACTGATTGTATACGCTTTTACGTGTATTTATTGATATTTGTTTGTGACGTTTCGCCTTCACGGTAATTAAGTATTTAAAGAGGATCAGCTTGAAGTTCTGAACAAGTTTCAGATAATATTTTTCTATATGCATATATATATATGCATATATTAATAATGTTTGTCATGTAAATCATGCAAATTTTTCGTTTTAAAAATGAAGACACGATTTTTAGTAATTATTTGAAATCATAAAAAAAGCTTCTTTTTTATTTTTAAAATTTTTATTAACTTAAGTGTAACAATAATTTTGTACACTTGTGTCTTAAGCGAATGCCGGCTTTTTGTATGTTTCTGGGCAAAGTGTGACACACACAAGACTTTCGTTTTGTTTGCAGAGGATAATTGTTATTATTATTTTTTTTTAGCAAAAAACAAAAAAAAAGAAGAAAATGCAAAATAAATAAATAAATAATGCAGATATGAGATGGTGATCAGCATATCTTCTTTCGCGATTTCATTTACGTTTTTTTTTGTTTGATTTTTTCTTTAAATTTTTATTAATAATTGTAATTTTCCATGACGTTGTTAAGCGGAACCAACACCAGTAACATGTGTCTTAAGATAATATCAAAAAGCTGCTTTAAGCGCATTTTTGCAAATTTGTCTTCAAATTTTCTCACAAGCCTTTCATATAAAACCGAAGTTTAATGTGAAAGAAAAAAAAAACAAAAAGAACGTTTTCACTTCTGTAACAAATTTATCGATTATCTAAAAGTTTATAGCTCTTTCTTATTCCTCCGCCGTGATAAGATAATACTTTGTTTCTTCACTTTTTGTAAATCGCATTTAAATGAATATTAACTCCTTTCAATTGTTAACTGAAAAGTTTTTAAATTAATTAGCTCACTTTTAGATACGTATATATTTGAATATCAACTGATTGTCAGATGATCGTCTTAACTTGACTTGACTTGACTTTATTAACAAACTAAATAAATGCGAACATAACTGATTTTCGTATTGAGGAATATTTTATGTTGGATTATCGTAGCTTAATTTTTTTTTTCCAAGTTTTGTTTAGTAATTGATATGCTTCTTTAACAATGTTGTTGTTTATTTAATTATTTTTTTTTAGTGTTTTTTTTGTTACCCGTTTGAAATTTTTTTAGTTATAAAGAATTTCACTTTTGTGCGTAAGATATTATTAATTTGTCAGGAAAAAAATATTTTGCAAATACATTTTTTTGTTATATTTTGTAAACGGATTTTTCCTATTTTACCCCCTTTATTTTATATGTATAATAATAAAACTTCGAATAGCATAAATGTACAAATAGCACTCTTTTCAATAAAATACAATTTACATATTTTTTATTTATTAATATTTTCTTTTCAAAGAGAAAAAAGCGACTGAAAAAATCTAAAAAATGTTTAGATTTATATTCATGTAAGCAATTGTTAAAGTGGTAATTCTCTCTCTCTCTCTCTCTTCTTCTGACATGAGTAAAAAGATACGTTCTCTCAGAGTAAACAAAAGTTATACAATAACAACGCCAGCAATCCCTTAATGCTCCTACAAAGTAATCCTATCTCAGAGTAAGCAAAATATTAAAAAAGCAATGCCAGCAATCCCCTGAAGGACTAAAGCGATTTACCCAACACATAAAACGCATAAAAGTTTTGCAAGTCTTTTTTCGCTTATTGCTTTAACCAATGCAAACATGTTTGCTCAACATGTTGCAGCAAAATTTGTATCAGCTTCAAAAGATAATTTATTTAAGATCACATTATTTATTTGCTCTCTTTGGGATTGTTACAATTTCGTTTTTTTCTCTTTCACTCATTAGCTAGACAGGGTTAATGGTTAATGGTTTTAGCTCTTCTATAATTTGTAACTACAAAACTGCAAAATATCTCAAGAATAAATGTTAAAAAAAAAGTTAAGAAATAAAAAAAGCAAGAAAATCGTTGATAATTTCCTGTTCGCTCTCTTTTCTCAGTCTCTCACTCGCTCTGACTCTCGTCTTATAAAACGTGCATGATTATGTCAAAGCGTATGTGAAACGTGTAAACCCACGACTAAAAAGCAAGTGACTTGATGCTTTTGTTGATGTTTCGCCACTTGTTGATTCTCTTTTGTTATTATTACTTTTTATTATTGCATGCGATGTGTACTATATACATTTCGTAATGTATGCGACATGAAAAGCACGTGCATAAAACGTTTTTTGCGATTACGAAGTTAAAAATCAATAAACCGACACAACTAAACCATGAAAGAGCGATAGCATGCCTTCTTATTATTGAATTTGACTTTACGACGATTCTTATTGCTTTTAAAATTTTCTACTCTTAACCTTTGCGGCCGACTTTATTTTAC